TTTGGCAAAGCAAAGCTCTGTGAAATAGTATGGAAACGTCAGTTCAACTCATATGATTGTGGGAAAATTCTTCTTCTATCAGTCCTTCATCAGCTTAACCGAAATAGAGTGAATACATCTCATACTACTGATTTACTGGTAGACCCGAAAAACAATACTTAATTTGAAAAATATTTGAAATTGAATGAAAACGTCAGCTCAACTCATATGATTGTGGGAAAATTCTTCTTCTATCAGTCCTTCATCAGCTTAAACGAAATAGGGTGGATACATCTCGTACTACTGATTTACTGGTAGTCTCGAAACTCTATTCTAATACGAAAATAAAGAATATAACTTACATTTGGGGCTGATGCCTGTGTTTTAGCCCAACATCGTGGGTACGCCTTACAATGCCATTCAATGTTAATCAGTCTCGCTACCAAGATCAAAATGTTGTGGCAGCCATTTTGTTCACAGACTCGTTTCGAAGCACAATTGTCGTTTGACAAAGTTGCGAAAACAAGGTCACATGACCACTTTATTCAACCTGTTTTTCGTTTGGAAGCAGGATTTCAAGACTACCAGCAAATCAGTTAAATGAGATGTATTTGCCCTCTGGTAGTAGTAGAATTTTTTCACGTCGACATGTTAATTGCATTTCGCATAGCCTTGCTTTCGCAAAAGTTGTTCTCATCTCGGCTGGAGTGGAGTAGAGTGGAGTAGAGTGGAGTGGAGTGGAGTGGAGTGGAGTAGAGTGGAGTTATGAATCGCTAAAGTCTGGTTAACAGCTCCGACGAGAGTTTAATCTCGACGCCTTGACCAGTACGCCATTTTTCAGACAACTGATCTACTGGCAATCTTGAAACCGTAATTATGAACGAAAAATAGGTAATGTAGATGATTGTCATACAAAAGACAACTTTACTTTATCGAAAATCTCACCAAAGAATGTGATATGTGAAAAAACCGGGTCTTTCTCAAAATGCACACCTGCTCTCTGATCCAGGGGCACTCGGGGCACGATGGCAAGCTGCACTGTCATGGTTCGAGTCCCGCTGGGAGTGTAGGCGTGGTCGAAAATGCACTCGACTGTGGGGAAGAGCACGAATTTGTGGAAAAGTGAGTCAATGTGGAATTGAACGGAAACGTCATTTCTACTCACGTGATTGTGAGCAAATTCAACTACCAATCCTTCACCATTTTAAAAGGAATAAGGTGAATACATCTCATGTTGCTCAGACGTACTGTCCAAAACATACGCGGATACAAATGAACTGGACTACAGTGTTGACTTCGTCCGGGTCCCAACTGGAGCGGATGGCAATTGAAGATGGGATTGAGGCCAAACGGCTGTAGCACAGCGACAATCTGCTGTTGTTTTCTGATGGGATCAACATTCGAGTCTCTTCATCAAGCCCCATTTCATACGAAATGAAAGTACTCTGATGTTGTGTATCGCGCTCCACTCGACAGCCACAAATGCAAGTGGGCCAGAGGAGAGATGTGAAATTGAAGACAAATCATATCTCTGCCAAATCACATGCCCGGTAGAATGAAACTGTCGCCATGATACACACGAGCCGGCGGCTAACTCCGTTACGGTTGGCCATGCGGCTTGAGCGAGCTCAAAATTGCAGTCCAGTCCAGCCTGGAGGGAATGACCTTTTGGGAAGTGAAATTCCACAGCGTCATGACAAATGGTTGTCGAATTGTTTTAAAAGTCAACTATCACTCTCTACAATTGGTGACATCTTGTTCTCGCAATTTGGTCGTTTTGTCACAGCCACCGACGTGGACGTACCTTGTCCGGATTCCTTTGCCACTGGCAGTCTCGGTCCGTGGACTTGGTATATTTCTAAACGCTTCGCCGACATCGTTAGCAAACCTTGTCAGTCTTGGTACCGAATTACAGCTCGTCTCAGAGACAAGTAATGTACATCTCTTGACCGGCTGTCGGCTGAAGGGGTGTCTCGGTCCTGTCTCGGTACCTTCAGCTTACTCATATCCCATCAGTCTGCCATTTGCCACTCGGTTCAACCATTTCACTTGATCATTGATACCTACTCTGAGACATTTAAGGCATTATGTCGCATCATCTGCCTCAAAAACAAAGATGGCATCTACATACCAAGCAACCCCAAAGCCTGAACTCGCAAGCTGGATGAAGGAATAAGTTAAAAATGTGGTCTTTGTATCGAAGAAATTTCATAGTAAGCTCTTCAATTTTGGATGTGAAAAGTAACTAGTTTTAGATGAATCTGTTGAAAGTTCATTGTTTGGCGAGACTTTCCGTTCATATGAAAGTGTGTTTTGATGAAGATAGTCGAAGGTCGATCCCACCAGAAAACGACAGCAGATTGTCGCTGTGCTACAGCGGTTTGGCTTTAATACAATCTTCAGTTTAGTGCAGTCCGCGAGACATCCTCTGTCATTTCGGAGAAGACAATCGGCCGTCGTTTTCCGACCTACGAATCTCCTCATCAAGCACTTTCATATCAAATGGCACTCTTTTCCACAAGACTTTACTTGACAAATCGCTTCCCTGCTCAGACCCTTGCGCTCTGAGCCAACTATCTCTGGTCCCCAATGTCGAATTCACCTAGTCCCTCGTTGTGAAAAACCCCAACTGTTGTAGCTGTTCACTTTATGGGGCGTATTTACCCTATTTCGTTCAAGGTGAATTTCCCCATAATGCTATGAGTAGGCCTCATGTCTACATTGAATTTCACTCAGTTTCGCTTTCCCAAAAGCTATTCACATCCCGAATGGAATGGACTGCAGTTTGAAGCTCGTCTGAATTCGCTTCATCAGCACCTCCAGCGGGACTCGAACCATGACAATACAATGGCGTATCGAGATTGTACGCTGCACTGTCGTGGTTCGAGTCACACGGAGGGTGCTGATGAGACGAAGACGAGGTAAAACTGCGGGCGAGGGGTGAATGTATGCGAAGAAAAGTTGGGTTTCCAGGAATCTCTTGTTTCATAATTGTTGAACCTTCTTCCATTTCGAGTGGAAGTGTTGCGTGAAGAGATTCTAAGCTCGGTTGCACCAGAAGACGACGGCCGATTCCTCTTGACCAGCTGTCGATTGGTTTTTCTGAAACAATCATTCTGACGTAATCTCTTTCGATTCCGGTGAAAAGGTGCTAAGCTTTCGTGCGTCATTTGATGGACATCATCAGAGCGAGGTAACATCGTCACAACAAAATGCAAGAAAACTAGTAAAAAGTATAAGGAGAAACTTTTTATTTAATTACTACTATTACTAATATTACTACTACTACTACTACCGGATTTGCTGGTGAGTTTTCTAGACTCGTTAGCTTGAAGTTGGTTGTGACGAGGCCACCTTGCTCTGATGATATTCGTCACACGACGCACGAAAGCTGGGCACCTTTTCGCCGGAATCGAAGCAGATCAACCTCGGAAACAGCGTCAGCATGAATCTCCCCTTCGAGTCTCTTCACGCAACACTTTCACTCGAAAGGGAAGTAAGTTCAACAATTATGAAACAACTTTTCTTCGTCTATGAGTAAGTTCATAGCCTTAGCTTCTGTCCGATTCCTGTATTCACCTCATTTTGCTCGAGAAGATAAAGAACTGGTAGTTGCATTATTCCGTCCTTACCACCTGCGACGAGATGGGGTGAATACACTTCTTTTAAATGCTCTGCTGGCAGTCTCGAAAGCTTGTTGTTCACTTTGTTGGACGAGTCCGTTGGCAAATATCTCGTCTTGATTGCCTCTGCGCCTTTGCACTCCTTTCCTGTCGTCTCCTTTTGGCCGATCCTGCCGATTCAGCAATCGCTGTCGCTCAGCCAGCGCAAACGAGCTGGGCTGACTACCTTCCTGTTCAGGAATTGGTGATGCTTCTGAGACGACATATACTCAAAATATTCCACAATGCATTGTCATCAATTAGCTCATCCACGACACCTCATGTTCAGCACAAATGTCTACCGAATTATCAAAAGAAAAGTCGGGCCAATCCTGCTTGTCGCAAGAGGCAGTGTTGCTAAGCGACTCACTGACCCGCTTGAGGAGACAGTCGAGTCGTCCGCGCGGCACCCATTCGCTGACCATCAGCCACGGCAGCGAGGCCTGTTCTGTGATGGCGCCGAGCAGCTGTACCAAATTCTTGTGCTGGAACCTGCCGGCAATGCAGAGGCTGACCAGAAAGTCGACTGCCGACCACTCCCCTCGGCCGCCGGTTGTCTTCTCCTCCTCCCGCTCCACCCAACTGCCCTCCCCCCCTGCCGCAGACCCGCACAACTTGCTCGTAGTTGCCGTCTCCGATTTGGCGCACCAGCCTCGGCTGTACCTCCTCGCGGAGCCGGCGCCGCTTGGCAACGACCTTGAGTCTGTGTCCCGTCGGCCCGTCGGCACACCGCGACGCGGAGAGTCGGCGTCGAGTCCGACATGAGCATGCTCTGGTTCGAGTCCCGGGTTGAACTGTATCTTACAGGACCAGGCAGCCGCCACCTCGGCCGGCTCTCGACTGTGGCTGGCCACGGGCCAGACGCTCGGTTGCTGCGAGTTTGTCGCCAATTGCGACGTCAAGGCCTGCATGTAAACGGCGATTGGAGCGAAGTTGGCCACTGCCGGCGCGGGGCTCGAAGTTGTGGATCTCGCGTGGCCGGTTGGCGCGAGAGCCGGTGAGCTCTGACGGGGAGACAGCGAAAGGAGAGAAAAGATGGCGGGCAACGGGTGGCATGAGATGTGCTCACTCAATTGCGTTTTAAACGATGAAGCGGAAGACAGACAAAGCAATTTTATGATCTCGATGGGGTTGATAGGCATTTAGATGGCAACAATATAGTCGTTATGAAAGCCGAAAAAGATGGAGCAATCGTGACCATGAATGAGTCAATTAATTAAGAAAAATGCTAGTTCCTTCAAAGGATACTGAAACACAAATGACTTTAACAAAAGCTATGCGTAGGGAGAAGTTGCAAACTAATTTACTATCCTGGAGAAATGTAAAAATTCCCTCTTGGATTAATTGTAAATAGTAAAGAAAGCGTGAAGCATAAAATCTAATAGAAGGCATGAAGACCAAGATGGTGTGGCCTTTTTGTGGTCGCAATCTCCTTTCATTGTATAGAAGTTGTTTAACCTTGTTTTCGCAACTTTGTCATGTTGGTAGGAAGACATAAACCAGACCATCTTGCTCTTCATACCTCTGATTAAACTATGTGTTTTATTGAAGGTATGAAGAGCAAGATGGTGTG